GATGACCCTCCTGCCCGGTGACCCTCCCACAGGTGACCCTCCCTCCTGATGACCCTTCCGCCCGGTGACCCTCCCGCCGGGTGACCCTCCCTCCTGATGACCCTCCCGCCGGGTGACCCTCCCTCCTGATGACCCTCCGGCCGGGTGACCCTCCTGCCAGGTGACCCTCCCTCCTGATGACCCTCCCACCAGGTGACCCTCCCGCCGGGTGACCCTCCTGCCAGGTGACCCTCCCTCCTGATGACCCTCCCACCAGGTGACCCTCCCGCCGGGTGACCCTCCCTCCTGATGACCCTCCGGCCGGGTGACCCTCCGGCCAGGGCGGCCAGCCTTCACTACGGGCAGTGTACCGGCGTCTGCCCTGTCCCCACACGTTCTGGGCTGGGCGTCTTAAGACCCTGGAGTGCCAGGAAGCAAGCCCCGTGGAGGCGTTCCACACCGTGGCATCAGTGTCCGGCCACCCACGCCAAGCCTGGTCCTCATGAGCCGGCTGGCAGAAGCCAGTGCGGCTGTAACCCAGAGCGTTAGCTGGTGTCTGTGCTGCGGGCCCAGCGGCACCGACTGGTCTTCTCTCTCGCGAGTGGGATGTTACATCGTAAGAGGGCCGTGATAGCAAGGTGAGGCCGTAAAAAGTAAAATACGGCGTTGAGGTGGTGAAACTGGGCTTGAAATATTCTGTTTGCCGCGGGAGTGTCCCTCCAGGCGAGGTGCTGAGCCACGAGCACCACCTTGCGCGACCCGTCCGAGTCCTGCGTCTCTAAAGGCCCTGCCCAGCCGCTCCCCGGGCGGCGAACAGCCTCCAGACCGCACGTGCCGGTTTGCTCGCAAGCCAGCCTGTGTCCCTTGAATGGACGAGGCTCCCCGCCTCTACGTCTCTATAACCACGCCTCCCGGAAACGTCCACTTACAAAGCTCTTTTCAGCTGACGGATTCTCCTGAAGGAGGTCCCTGTGGGGCCGGTGTCCCGATCAAATGTCTGCCTCCCTCTCTCCCTCTGAAGCACCTGCCTGGAGCCCACCCTGGCCGTGCTGGGCTGCTGCTGCAGCTGGACGTCTCGGGGCTGCAAGCTGCGGGGGCCACCAGTTAGCTATTTGGTGCCCAGAGGGACCAGAACTAAGATTCTGAGACTTTCCAAACCCCGACTCGGAGCAATGCAGTTTTAATTAGAGGAGTTTCCATAATGGCCGCTGGGTCTCCGAGGGAACCATACTGAGCGCTCGGGGTCCACTCCTCAAAGGGGACAGACGTGGGACATTTCCCTGAGTCCTCCAGCCATCCGGGGCCCCAGGAGCCAGCACACCAGGACTCGAGGTCAGCGTGAGCCGCCACTGGATGCACACAGACCCGCCCTGCACGCAGGTCAGGGCCAGCGGACGCTTCCACGTTGGACCCAGGTGGACCGTGCAGTCCCTGTGCTTGAACGAAGCACGTCGCTCCGTGGGCCCGTCTCTGCCCCGATTCAGTGTCCCAGCTTCGGGGGACGTCTCCTGCAATGACACCATCGTCTGCATCCCTAGCTGGCTCTTTCGTCACCTGCAAACTGAGAGAAGTGAGGGAAGATCAAAGCGGGTTCTGCACGTCAGTGTGCTCTGGGATTCCGTGTTTAAACGGTGCTCAGGTCTGGGACCAGCACTGCAGGAACCCACGGGAGGACCTGAGCGCATCTGCTCTGCTGGCTGCGCTTCACCGATCCCTCCCCTTCTCTGCTGTGCGCCCACCCACTGTCATCACTAAGTTCTCAGGACAGGACGATCGGGCGGGGAGATGCCGAGTGTATGGGAGCCTCTGGACCAGGCTGGCAAGGAGACGGCCTCTGAGAAACAGCCCCGATGAGCACAGATAGGGAAAGACAACCAGGATGCAAACTGGCCGCGTCCACCGGGCACCCTCCCGAGAGCGGGGGACTGGAGACGGGCCGGGACTGCCTTGTAACAGCGGGGCCAGGGAGCAGACACAGACACCAACAAACTGCACCTGCAGACATCGGGCGCAGGATCCTGAGAAGACGCTGGAGGTGGGCGGAGGAGGAGGAGAGGGACCTCAGGGTCCCTGGGGACTCACGCCTGTCAATCTAGAAACACCACCAGCAAACGGTTCACAGCAGCATGGTCCCGGGACGAGCGACAGGGGCAGAGATGACTCAGCATCTCCCGGATCCTCCGGTGCAGCCACCAAGCACAGACCCCTCACCGATGGCTTATCAAAGACAACGTAGACATCGGTGCGAACTGTGAGAGAATCTGTGTGAGGATACTTGGAAAGCATCCTTACATTAACGTGGACAATACTAGTTATTGCTAATAACCACATAATCCACACTGCCGTTGGGTGTTGGATGGATACAGGTATAGATCAGCCCCCAACAGGCTGTGAACAGGGGCCATCTGGCACCGAATTACGGATGAAACGCATGTGTGATGTAAATATACATGTAATACTGGACATACAGCCGTGTGCAAATGTACAGTTTTCATGTCACGAGGGCCGGGGGCCCCCGGGGTGCCCTCACATGGTGGCCGGGGGAGTGTGAGGGGTGAGCCCCCCAGGGGCAGGTGTGATGCAGCCCAGGCTCGGGGCCACAGAAGGTGCTCGGGACGCAGAATCGTCCTCCATGCATACACAGCACGAAAGGGAAGGAGGGACGGGAGCCATCCTGAGAAGACAGTGGTCAGGCGCATGGACCCATTTCAGGTGCAGAGCATGGGCTCCCAGAGACGACCAGCGTTAGCAACGTCAGGGGCGGCGGGGAAGTTGGCAAAGAGGCCGCACATTTGATGTCAGCGGCAAACGGGTTTTAAACCTTCAAGTGAGGTCATGATATTGAGGTTCTGTTTTTACACCTGCTGCCACCCCCCCCAATAATCTACTGGAGGCAGGACAGGGCAGGGGGAGACGGATGTGCCGTGAGACAGAACGGTTGAACCTGGGCTGAGCTCATTATTCGATCTTTCTACATCTGAATGTTTAAAAGCAAATCTTAATTCAGGCCTTGTGTAAGTTTGACACTTTCCACAGTAAGGAAGTTTCCAGATAGTCGCTCCATAGAGAACCCCAAGCGGCCCCAGGAGGCATGCAGTGAAGAGCGTGACTGCTCCGGCCCGGAGCCCGGCCACCGTGACTTCCGCTGAGGCCCGGACCGGCCGTGTGTCAGCCTGGAACTGCCCCTGATCCACAGGCAGACGCAGCCTCCCTCATGTGCAGGGAGTGGGCCACACGGCGTCCGCCGCTCGGGCTCATTTCCCTTTGCCACAAAGCCCTTTGCCGGCAACCAGTCTGATAAAATGCCTCGGTGGCGTGCCGGGCTCCTGACTCTTCTTGCTGCAGGGCTGGGGGCTCTTCTTCGGAGACCCATAACTCATGCCCCCTTGTGTCTTGTCCCCAGCTTGTCGGGGTGCCCACGAGCCACGTCAGCCATGAAGAAGGCGAAGCTGTCTGGAGAGCAGATGCTGACCATCCGACAACGGGCCAGCAACGGTGAGCACCCCTCCCCGGGGCGGCCGCCGCGGCCCCAGCCCCGGCCTGTCCCGCCCAGACGGAGCCCCAGACATTGGCAGCCCCTCTGCTTTGAGAGCCGGGGCGGGATTATTCCGTCCACGTCTAGGAAGCTGGTCCACTCGCTGGAGGAGGGGCATCCCCAAACTCACCGCTTGCTGGGACCCCTGACAGTCCCAGTGATTTGCTCCCCAGAACCCCGGCAGCCCCCCATTGTGCCTTTGCCCCCAGGCCCTCCTGCAGGGGCCGAGTCCAGGACAGCACTCCTGTCCCCTCCATGCTCAGCCTCCCAGTGGACGGGCCTGACCACGCACAAGCACCATCTCCCTCCACGTGCCTGTGGGCGCCCCTGGACACAGAGTGCAGGGGTCCCCCAGGAGGGCCAGGGGCCCAGCTTCATCCTTGTAAAACCCCCCTGCGGCAGAGCCCCTCTGGGACCCCAAAGTCAGTACTCGTGGTGTTTTCGTGGTCCCTGGGGATGTGGCAGGGCGGGAGAAGTGTCTGCTGGCTGAGGAGACGAGGCCACGCTCATCCTGTAACAGGGTCCTTTCCGTAGTCTCCTAAATGGGACCTTTTCCAAATTTGGGGAGCTTTTGTTGGTGACTTCTGCATGAAAGGCCCCCACGCGTGGCACAGGCGAGTGCTCCTTGCACCAGGGCTGCAAGGCACCCAAGGGGACACGGATTTGTTAGGTGAGCCCGTCCACGCCAAGTCATGCGCTGCTGGCCGTGAGGTCAGAGTTCATGAAGCAACACTGTGCATGCAGGAAGGTGTCTTCCAGCAGAAATACACGCAACACAAGCGTACACACTGACGGGCCGATGAAAATGAGCAGAGGCGCCCAGGGGTGGCAGCTAACTCGGGGTTGGCGGAGACTCCAGAGGACGTCACTCCAGGGGCTATGGAACGGAGCGTCATCTGCAGCCGCTCAGCAAACTGTGGCCTTGGGGGGCAGGAGGACCTTGTGAGCAGGGGGCTGACACGGAGCCGGGCCGACCGTGACGCTGGGGCAGCAGAGGCCCAGGGCAGGCACTGCCCTCACTGTGGGCTCCTCAGGGCATCAAGCACTGCAGGACGTGGGTCACGCCTGGGCGAAGTCCCTGGACCCATCCCAGGAGCTGCGTGCCACGGCTCTGGCCCCGTGGACCCTGGCCTCCTGTGCTGAGGCTCTGCGTGAGGCTGCCTCCCCTCGCGGGAAGGCCAGGCGGGCCAGGGCCCCGCGGCCTCCACTGGTCACCTGACCGTTCATGACAGGCCCTGACCACAGCTCAGGGCCTCTGTGCGTGGCTTGCACTACACAGTCCTTAATGTGTGGCTGACCACGGACCGGAAGATGGCGAGGGTCATGGTGTTTGCGTCTTGCTGGCGTGGGCTCCAGCCTCCGGCTTCTGCTGGACTGGTGCTGGCTGCCGGAGGCAGGGAGCGTGGTTAGACCGAGCGCCGCCTCCCACACGTTCTGGGACCCGCACGGTCGCCCGAACCTGAGGCCCCGTGTGGGGCAGCCTCCCCGAGACGCCAGGCCCACCGCGTCGCTCATCTTGGGCGTCTCAGGGCAGCGCTCATCGCCCCGGAAGAAACCGCCCCGACACTCTTTCTAAAACGCCCCGCGTGGCCTGTCCCCCCAGACAACCCTGTGCCCAAGCAAGACTCCATGGGCCAGTGGGTCTGCTTTGTCAACTTCTGACTCGTCAGCGAAGGAGGCAGCCGTGAGCTGGGCGGCCAGCACAGAGCAGAAAAGGAAAGGAAACACGAGCGGATCTGCAAACCCCAACGAGGGGCCGTTCCGTCGGCGGGAAGTCGCGGGGTGTGCGTCTCAGGACCACAAAGGGCCATGTCTCTTCCGAGGGGCAGCGGAACCCAGAGTCCTCTGGCCACGCCGGGCGTGGATGCCCGCAGAACCAGCGCTCTCTCGGGGACGGGAGCACGCGCGGCGGTCTGGGCCACCTCCCAGGAGGCGGCAGGATGGCTCCGTCCCGCAGGGAACTGCACACGGCGCCCGGGTCTGCACCTGGACACGGGAGGCCTGATCCCGGGGTCGGGGCAGGAGCCTGGCTCTCTGCGGTGGCTTCTGGTGAGCGCGTGCGTGCCGCGAGGACGCTCCGTGCCCAGAGCGCGAGCCGTGGAAGCCGGTCCAGGCGGGTCTCCACGAGCCCGGGGCCAGGCTGCAGCCTGTCGTGTCTCGTCTGTGCAGACCAGGGTCATTCTCACTACGCCCGGGGCCACTTCGTTCCGTGCCACGGCTGTGGCGCAGGACGTGGACAGTCAGGCATCGCCCACGCCCCGTGTGGCTACCTCAGGGGCAGCGCGTTGCTGCTCCTCGGGGGACAGGGCGTGAGCACCCTGCCTTCCTCAGCAACTCTTTGCCCATCCTTCAGAATCAAAAGATCTGGCTTTGGTGCTCCCTAGCTCCATCCCTCTCTCCTTGAGTATCTGGAGTGTAGAATCTTACGTGTTGCTCTTACACATTCCTAACACACGTGTCCGGAAGCTTCCCTCCCTCCACACCCTGGCCTGCACGGAGCGCCAAGACCTCAAGGAGACCACCGTTGCGTGGTTGGGGCTGACTCAGAGAGGCAGCCCCTGCTCTGGGCTCCCAGGGCCTTCCCTCGAGTGTGCACCTGCTTGGAAAGGAACTATTCTAAGTGTCCTTGAAGCCCTGAAGTCCCTGGTCCACCCTGCCCTCCCTCCTCCTCCTCGATCTCATTCTTCAAGCTTGGAGAAGAGTCTGCTCTCACCTGTTCCCGCACAAGGTCACTGTGATTTCTCTCCCACTGAATGAGCTCCCAGAGCAACCGGTGTGGGGAGACGTTACCGAGGCTGCCTGCCGTCCCTGCCCGCCCGCCTGCATTGCCATGGCAGCCGGGCTGTCCCTGGCTCTGTGGTGGGTTTTTGTTGGTTTTTGCCCAGAAGGAAATGAGATAAGCCCTCCTTTTTCTTTCCTCTATTATCACGGAAGACAGGAAGCTGAGGGAAGGGCTGTGACTTCTGTTGCACAAGGAGGCTGCAGCGACCCTCTGTCGGGCCCCTGCGCAGCGAGCGGTCTCACCTGCAGCAGGTAGTTACAAACGTTTAGCTCAGCCTAGCCGCCCTCGAGGGGAGGGCCCCGTGGGGCCTGTGGGTGTCGCCCTGAGACACAAGCATCAACAAGCAGGCCAAGGGCCCTGGCTTCCCGGGGTGGAGTCTCCGTCCCCGCTGCACCCCGGTCTGCGCTCCCAGGTCCAGTGCTCTCCCCTCTCCAGGAGTGGGCCTTGTGCGGAGCCCTGGGGCCCTCAGGATGTCCTAGGGGCAGGCGCACATTCGCGGCTCTTAAGGAAATTCGTTTCCAGACACTCAAATTCCTCCTGACGGTCTCCTGAACCCAGGGGACTGAGGGTCCGTCCGTTCTCCCTGCCCCTCACGGCGTGCTGCTTGCCCCACCTTCATGAGAGAAAGGCTGCTCAGAGTTGGGCCGAAGTGCTTGCTGGCACCCAAGAGGGCGCCCGGACGGCTGGGCTCTGGGGGTGCAGCCCGGAGTGCCGGAGGGCCGGGCGCGAGCGCCTCATGGGGAGACACGGCGGGCACCCTGCTCCTGTTTCCTGGAGGCAGAACTGCTGATGCTCACGGGTCCATCGTTCAGCATTCCCAGAGGGGAAATCAGAGATGGGAAGGCCACCAAGCGACCCTTGCTGCAGTTTCACTGGACTTAAAATGACCTCCTCAGGAAGTTGATCTGAACTGCAGACTGGTTTGGTGATGACGCGTGATCAGCCGGTTGGTTTATGTAGTGGACATCTCCCGTAAATCTTACGAACCGAACATCTTGGTCCAGGTTTTGATGGACATATATTTAAGGCGCTCTGCAGCATACAATTTTGCATTTATATATATGTAATTCTATATATAATTCTAAATATATATAATTCTAAATTTTAATAGTTTCATATATATGAAAGGGCTGTGACTTCTGTTGCACAAGGAGGCTGCAGGCGACCCTTTTAATAGTTTCATATATATGAAACTATTAAAATTTAGAATAAGAAATTTAGAGGACAACTTTAAGACTTATAAAAAGAAATTTTTTTTTAATTCTTTAATTCAACAAAAAATGAGGCCCACTGCGCTAGACCACATACCATATTTTTGCTCTTTCTCTTCCTTTTAATGATTTGTCAGCTCGCAGCACTGAGTTAGCAGGACAAAACCAGCCCATGCCACTTTTCGGGCAGGTAAGCACGGAGACCACGGATGCTCAGGGCCTCTGGCTTCTGAGGCAACTCCTGATGTTCAACGGTCTTCTCTAGCCGCCGCTTGGCAAGTCCCACTGAGTCAGGTGTCTTATGTAGATTTAGTTATCTCTTCCTACCACTGTGTCAGGGAGGGACACTCTGCAGTGGAGGATTTGGAGGTTTAGAAGGACTAAGAAAATTACTCATCACAAAACTCTTAAGTGGAAAGACATGGATTTAGATCCCAGGTCCATCATGTTTCAGATCCCAGGCTGTAACCCCCCGACTTCTCAAACCCTGCACCAGGGCGGTTCAGAAATGCATCCAGCCTTCAGGAAATATCTATCCCAAGTTGTGTGATCTCTGCCTCTGCTTACGTGTTGGTGCCCATGAAAGTTAAATAGAAAGTAGTCTTTGTTGGATGCTCTTTTGTAAAAATTCAGATCAGTAAAATGGACCTCCAAGATTTCAGCCATATTCTGGGGAGACCACGTGCTCTTCTCAGACCTTTATCCAACTTCTAAGCTTGCATTTGCCAGAATACAGGCCCAGGACATGTTGACATTTCGGGCTGTTCTGTATGCTTCACTTCATATCAGCTACCATGGATAGAGCATGTCTAACAAGGCAATTAAGATGATTTCATTGCAATCCTTAGGCCCACTATTTCCCCCACAGTTCTCTGGGCTTTATGATTACGTGGTGATCTCCAAACGGCCTGTCCTGAAACGAGTTGTTTCGTTCATAATTCCATTCGTACATTCTCAGTGGAAACAAGCTATCTTGATGTTGGGAACAGGCATGCACACAGAACATTTATCACCCGCGCTATCAGGAAGTAACCAAAATCAATGTCCCGATCCAATGACGGTCCCGGAAAGGAGCTGCACCAGCTGTCCGGTGCGGGTCCACCACAGTGGTTACCTTCTCAAAACGCAACAGGTCTACTCTTTGACACTTTAAGCCACGATACATACATAAAAGATTAGAATTCTTATCTAATGGATATAAGAAACCTATTCTTTTGTTTGATGATTGCTTTTGCTCTGGGCAGTGCATTCACACACGACCCTGGGAGAGACCCTGGGGAGAGACAGTCCCCCCACTGCAGGGGCCCGGAGAAGAGACCTTCTGAGGGAATAACGGTGTCTTTCAAAGTAGTGTGACACTGGAGAGACCCCAGGCCTCGGGGGTGGGAGAGAGCAGGAAGTCTGCCCGTGCTTCCAGAACCCGAGACGGCCCCTCGCGCGCATGCAGTTCTCCGTTCTGCGGGAACTATCACGCACAGCTGCGAAGAGAGAAGTTCTAAGATTGTTCACACCTGAAACACTAAAGAAATACGACATGAAGGACCCACTCAGAAATCCGAGCAGAAATTCCCTCGGAACACAGCACAGCCCCAGGCACGGAGGGGCCGTCGCGTGGAGACTGCCATGGCCCCGTGCACACCGGAGACGTCCTCGAGCTTGGGCTGGTTGCAACTTAAAGGAACGCGTGGTGAGCCCCGGTTAGGGGATAAAGGGCTTACAAATCAAGATGCTTAGGCCTCGGGCGCTCCAATAATTATGGTGGCCACCTCCCGGGTCGAGTCTCCAGAGTGCAAATTATTACATGCAGGAACTCACTCAGCCCAACTCCTAATTGTGAAAGTTGTCACAGAGTCTGGTCTCATGTGGAAAGGGGGAAAATGTAACAGCCCACCCCTGAGAAAGGGTACACCCCATCGCTGGAAGGCTTTCCTGGGAGCCGTGAACTGCTTCCGGAGATGCATCTGATGGCGACCAGAGTTGCTCTGGACCCGGGGACACAAGGGCCGGGGACGCGCACCCAGGGCCTCTGCGGTGGGGCCAGGGCTGCAAGACCCAGGCTTGGGGTCAAGCGAGCCCCAGCCGGTCCCTGTGGGGGGGATGGACCTCGGCAGGCTCAGGATCCACGCATCCCCAGGCGGGTCTGTGGGACGAGATTCGGGACGAAGGACCTGCTCACCGGGCCTCTGCAGTGTCCCTCCGTGTCTCGGGCCTTCCCTCCCAGGTGGCCGCACCCCTTCTGTCTGCAGACCCATAGAGGGGCGTCTGCCCTGGGACCTCCGAGGCCTGGGCTCCGTGCCTTTCCCGTGGTTTTGCATGAGCATCCCCTGCTGTGCCCTGTGACCCGTGTCCCGGGTTATCAAAGGTGATGGCATCTGCAGGCGTCCCGCTCTTCTTCCCCGAGTACATTCAGCCACATGAGACCCAATAGCCAGAACGACGGAGGGTCCGGATTGGTCCCTCCCTGGCGTGTCCTGCTGCCAGCAAGCAGCCCAGGCGCCCGGCGTGGCCCCCAGGGCACACACAAGGCTGCCACCACCCCAGCCTTGTTGGTGGAGGCGCGTTTTCTGCATTCAGAAGGAGGAGTTGTTTACATCAGTTAAATGTCCTCCGTGCGGAGAGCCCTTCAGAAGGCCCCTGAAACCTGCCTCCACCAGCATGAGGCTTCCTTGCAGCGCGGGCGGGAGGTGGCCCTGAGCACTCCAGGCGTCAGGGGGTTTGGTCACCTGTGGGCAGTGGGGCTGGGCCTGGTGAGGGTGCGTCCGCGCACAGCCTGGCACATCCCCCAGTGGTGGCAGAGAAAGAGACAGACAGACAGACAGGGGACAGACCAAGGAGGCAGGTGATGGGCTGAAGCAGGTCACCCACCCCCAGGACGGAGCTGCTCTGGGCCGGCGCACGGTGCGGGGGGGTCGCGTGTGCTCCGCTGATTCTCTCCGCAGTGTAGGTGCTGTGATTGCGAGGAGGGCAGCGGGAGGGATGGACGGCCACATGAACTGTCACTGTTTTTTTTTAATCCAAGAGTATATTTGTCCAGCAGATCCAGTTCCAAATACAAAAAGAACAAAGAAAAGTCAAAATTCTAACTCGTCTTCACGTTCGATGGCTTTACCACAGTCCTGTTACCCACACAGGTATAGAAAACGACGAGGAAATCAAACAGCTAGACGAAGAAATCAAGGAGCTCAATGAGTCCAACTCCCAGATGGAGGCCGACATGATTAAACTGAGAACTCAGGTAACAGTTTTTGAAGCCCTCAATTTTAGCCGCACGTGCCGGCCCCGGGACGTGCCGGCCCCGGGACGCACCAGTGGTCGGCCTCGGGGCGCGTGGTCCCCCTTCCTTTCGCTCCTTGCCCCCCTTCATCTCGCATCCTGCTTTTGGCAGCAGAACGCGCTGACGCACCGTGGCCACTGGCCGCCCGGTTTCTGCCCGCGCACGCTTTAGTGAGATGCGGTCGGCAAGCGTTGCTGCCAAGAGGGCCGCTTGTTCCTGCAGATGAGCTGCTTCCTTCCCGGGACACAATAGGCCCTAATGCCCTGCGGCCACTGTGCTAGGGAGAGAGCTGAAGCTCCCAGAGAAGGGCAGCGTGGCCCCGGGGGCGGGTGGAATGCTGCGAGCTCATGCGGGTCCCAGGCCCAGGTGCCCAGTGACAGGAGGGGGGAGGGAGGGAACAGCCTTTACTGAGCATCTGCTGGATGCCTGACTGTGAGGCTGTAGTGCGTAGCCCCACTGTGCTCACAGTGGTCAACCAGGTAAGTGTCATCACTGCCATCTGATGCACACGGTGACCCCCTTGGCTAAGCCGGGGCGGATGGCCAAGCTGCTGCGGCTCAGAGCCTCCTGTCCCTGAGTCCCAGGCTGTGCCCCCCGCGCCCTGCCGCCTCTCCCAGAGCGGCCTGGGGTCCCGGTGCCACATGGGCTCTGGGATTGGGCCGCCATTGCAGGTCACAGGTACGGCCAGGCACTTCTATACTGGGAGAAAGCGGGGCTGCATGCCCCCCACCCCTGCAGACCCTCCTGGCAGCCGACAGTGTGGCTGGTAGGGTCCGGGTCTGGCCTCAGGACACCAGGTAGTGGTTGCAGCTCAGCCGTGGGCTGGTTCTGTGCACGGTGGCACCCCATCTCCAGGGAGGGGCATCTCAGGCTGTGTCCCCACCAGAACGCCCAAAGGGGACCCCATGGGTGCTGTGAGTGGGAAGGAAGCACAAAGGGTGGGCGTTCTCTACCCGGGCCCAACCGTCCCGTGGGGTCGCTTTCACACCCACCTCCTCGCCCATAGCAGCCTCGTCCAGGCTGTGCTCCGGCCCCTGGCTCAGCACGCTCACCTGGCCAAAGGCTCGCCTGGAACAGGTGGCAGATTTCCGTAGCATTTATCCAAACGCCCGGCTGTGATCAGCCTGCGGCCGGAGGTGCTGGCCCCAAGAGGACTCCAGGGCCACACAAACACCCCGCGCCCCCACCTCAGCCACGACTGGTTTCACCAGATCCAGTGAAAACACCTGCCCCGACTCTGGTTCTGCTCCCGAGGGTGACAGCTGAGCAGCCTCATCAGTCCTGCTCGCACTCCAACAATCCCGAGGACTCAGAATCCCTTTTCTGTGCAGGGTGGTGACAAAACACACTTGTGACCCCTGGAAAACGCTGCTTTCCCCCAGGTCTGACCAGCAGAGCTCTCCCGCCCTGTGGACGGGGCCGGCGCGGGGCCAGACGCCACGCTCCCAGACCCGGCTTCCCAGGGGCCCCAGAGCATGCATGCTCCGGTCACCCCCCACTGGCCGTTTTGTCCCCATGCAGGTTGCCAGGGACCATTCAGGGCTCTCTGACATCCGACGTGATGTGCTCCACCAGGCATCTGCTTACCTCTGATGTCAAAAATGAGTTTTAAGGGTTGCTGTGTATTCTCACTGTCCTGGGCGATGTCCCTCGGGTGGCTCCTCTTCTCTGGAAGGCCAGCGTCTGCAAGTGATGGGAGGACCCTGAGCCCTGCGGTTGCCGGGGTGGGAGGGGGCGGCGTGTCATGAAGGACAGGCAGCCTGCAGCGTGGCCGAGCCATCCGGACCTGGTGTCAGCTCAGCAGCAGAGCATTCCCGCCGATTCCCAGCAGCCTCAGCTGGCCACGAGGCGCTCAGGGACAAATGAGGCTGCGGCCAAGTAGCCCACGTACCCGCCAGCCCCGCGAGTGCCTTGGCCTTCTAACCTTTGGCCAAGGCACACGTAACGTCCCCACTTGTCTCAGAAAGTGCTGGAAGGTTGGTGGTCCTGAAGCTGGGCTTTCTCCAGCCTCTGGTGCCCTCACTCCAGGATGGGGACAGAACGAACAATGCAGGCGCCTTCCGTCACAGACACCTTCTACCAGAGCTAGCTCTGGCCTTTCTAACACTGGGCATCGCTGCCGCAGAGGTACCCATGGTTGCTCCAGGAAGGATCTAAGAGGACAGCATCGGCCTCCTCCTCTTCCCTGCCCCTCCCAGAGCAGGAGGGGGGGGCGCTGAGCCTCGCCCTCCCACAGCTGGGGCAGGGATGCAGGGCCTGGGGGCAGGGAGGCAGGGCCTGGGGCAGGGAGGCAGGGCCTGGGGCAGGGAGGCAGGGCCTGGGGCAGGGAGACAGGGTCTGAGTCAGGGAGACAGGGCCTGGGGCAGGGAGGCAGGGCCTGGGGCAGGGAGACAGGGCCTGGGGACAGGGAGGCAGGGCCTGGGGCAGGGAGACAGGGCCTGGGGACAGGGAGGCAGGGTCTGGGTCAGGGAGGCAGGGTCTGAGTCAGGGAGGCAGGGCCTGAGTCAGGGAGGCAGGGCCTGGGGCAGGGAGACAGGGTCTGAGTCAGGGAGACAGGGCCTGGGGGCAGGGAGACAGGGCCTGGGGCAGGGAGACAGGGTCTGAGTCAGAGAGACAGGGCCTGGAGGCAGGGAGGCAGGGCCTGGGGCAGGGAGACAGGGCCTGGGGCAGGGAGACAGGGCCTGGGGGCAGGGAGGCAGGGCCTGGGGGCAGGGAGGCAGGGCCTGGGGCAGAGAGGCAGGGCCTGGGGCAGGGAGACAGGGCCTGGGGCAGGGAGACAGGGTCTGAGTCAGGGAGACAGGGCCTGGGGGCAGGGAGACAGGGCCTGGGGGCAGGGAGGCAGGGCCTGAAGGCAGGGAGGCAGGGCCTGGGGGCAGGGAGGCAGGGCCTGAAGGCAGGGAGGCAGGGCCTGGGGGCAGGGAGGCAGGGCCTGGGGGCAGGGAGGCAGGGCCTGGGGGCAGGGAGGCAGGGCCTGGGGGCAGGGAGATAGGGCCTGGGGGCAGAGAGGCAGGGCCTGGGGGCAGGGAGGCAAGGCCTGGGACAGGGAGGCAGGGCCTGGGGGCAGGGAGACAGGGCCTGGGTCAGGGAGGCAGGGCCTGGGGACAGGGAGGCAGGGTCTGGGTCAGGGAGGCAGGGTCTGAGTCAGGGAGGCAGGGCCTGGGTCAGGTAGACAGGGCCTGGGGGCAGGGAGGCAGGGCCTGGGGGCAGGGAGACAGGGCCTGGGGTCAGTGAGGCAAGGCCTGAAGGCAGGGAGGCAGGGCCTGGGGCAGGGAGATAGGACCTGGGGTCAGAGAGGCAGGGCCTGGGGGCAGGGGGGCAGGGCCTGGGACAGGGAGGCAGGGCCTGGGGGCAGGGAGGCAGGGTCTGAGTCAGGGAGACAGGGCCTGGGGTCAGTGAGGCAGGGCCTGAAGGCAGGGAGGCAGGGCCTGGGGGCAGGGAGGCAGGGCCTGAAGGCAGGGAGGCAGGGCCTGGGGCAGGGAGACAGGGTCTGGGGGCAGGGAGATAGGACCTGGGGCAGGGAGGCAGGGCCTGGGGGCAGGGATACAAGGTATGAGGCAGGAAGGCAGGGTCTGAGTCAGGGAGACAGCGCCTGGGGCAGGGAGGTAGGGCCTGGTGGCAGGGAGACAGGGCCTGGGGTCAGTGAGACAGGGCCTGAAGGCAGGGAGGCAGGGTCTGAGTCAGGGAGACAGGGCCTGGGGCAGGGAGGCAGGGCCTGGGGGCAGGGAGGCAAGGCCTGGGGGCGGGGAGACAGGGCCTGGGGCAGGGAGGCAGGGTCTGAGTCAGGGAGACAGGGCCTGGGGCAGAGAGACAGGGCCTGAGGGCAGGCAGCCAGAGCAGAGGAGCAATCCAGGACGTTTCTGGGGTACATCACTTTAGTGGGGACCCCTGACTGGATCAGAAGTGCAGGAATAACAAAGGTCTTCCTAGCGCAAATACCGTGCATGTCTCTCCAGGAGATGCTCCCAGAGCACGTCCTGTCATTTCTGTTTTCCAGAAAACAACCCAGAGTCGGCCTGACTCACCCTAGTGCGGGGGAGGCAACAGCCCTTCGACCCCCGTCTCTTGGCTCCCTGGGAAAGCACCAGGCCGGCTAACGGGAGCGGGGGATCCGTCCATGAGAAACGGGGGGGGCAGACTTTGGGGGGCGTTTAAGGTAACTCAGGGGAAAGGCAGTTTCCACGTGAGGGCCCGGGCTCATGTCCCCGTGTCCTGGGCCCTGACGGTGCCCTCGGTCCCTGCACCGGGCCTGCCTGGTCCTGGCTGTGCACCCTGCAGCCCAGACAGGTCGGGGCAGCTCCCCTCGTCCGCCTGTGTGCTCACCTGGCTGTGTCAGTCACGGGTCACCTGGCTGGAGGGGGGCAGGGAGACTGAGGACAGTTAGATCCCCTCTGGCAAATACCAGGAAGCCGAATAGGCCTGCCCGCAAGGCAGGAATGCGGCCCTCGTCCCTCCACCTGCAGATAAGGAGGGCGTCTGCCTGTTCCACCCGAGGAGCCGCAGGGAGCAGGGACGGGCGGCTGTGGACATGAACGCAGGGCACCTGGCACCTGTGAACAAGACGGTGACCCGCCTCTCCAGTAAATCACAGTTCAGGACCTCCCTGTGGCAGAACTAGATGCGGGCTGGAAGGAGGTGGCCCCGGCGGCAGGGAGGGTCAGAGTGGTTGACGGAGATGTCATCCTGTGATAGGCCATGGGTGAGGACAGCAGAGCTTTGCAAACGCTGGGTAACAGCTGACACAGCCCATGAACCCCTCCCCAGAAAGCTGAGCCCCAGCGTCCGGTTACCGAACTTGCAAGTGTAATGAGTTGAAGGGCAAAAACCGAACCCTTCAAATGACCGGCTCTGGCCACGGAAGCCTTTTTGTTAAAGCAGAAGGGCTTTTTTCCTGGCGCGGGCAGACGGCGGCCTGCCTTGTGTTACATGTCACCCCAATTTGTGCGTTCCAGATCACCACGATGGAGAGCAGCCTGAAGACCATCGAAGAGGAGAACAAAGTGATCGAGCAGCAGAACGAGTCCCTTCTCCATGAGCTGGCCAACCTGAGCCAGTCCTTAATTCACAGTCTAGCTAATATCCAGCTGCCACACATGGTAAGTGACTAGGGGCGCGACCCGAGGCGCCGGGCGGTCCCCCACAGTGCACGGCGTGGGGTAGAGGTCTGTCTCGGTGGCTGTGCCCCTGCGCCCCGTCAGACGAAGTACGCTGAGTGGGGCGCGTAAGTGATGTAAAGACAGCAGTGCCACGCTTTGCTGCTATTTTTTGCTGATGTGAGTATCCTATTAAGAAAGTAAAAGTTGTGTATGAACTACTATTTGGTATCTCGTAGGATCCAATCAATGAACAAAATTTTGATGCATACGTGACTACTTTGACGGACATGTATACAAATCAAGACCGTTATCAGAGCCCAGAAAATAAAGCCCTCCTGGAAAATATAAAGCACGCTGTGAGAGGAATCCAGGTCTGAGCGGCTGCTGAGGTGGCGGGACCTTGTTGGAAGGGGGCCTCTTCCTCCTTGCTGCTGTGACTCGCCAGAAAGTGTCACATACCTATTTCTGTTGGAAACAGTGTTACGCTCACAAGACTTCATGATGATTTTCTGTCTTGCTTTAAAGATCGTTACCTGCAGAATAGTTTTTGAATACATCCACATTTTGTACGTTTTCATATGAGCTGACATAGTGTGACAAATGCCATGTAATGTTTATGGCTGCTAAAGTCTGCACACCGGGGGGTATATATATTTCTGAAGAGGTAAGCTGATCAAAATAAATAGAGTGTAAATTCTTTTTAATGCTTTAGTGATTAAATGTTTTAGTATTTTGGACTGAAATGGACAAAAAAAAAAAAAAACCCACAGCTTTGAATGATCATGTGGTGGCCTCTCAGCCACTTTTTAGACATTATCATTTTGCCTCATGTTGGAGGATTTTATGGAATTAAGAAATACATTTTGTGTGCATATTGTTTCATAGCAAGAATCGGTTGCAAAAAAATGCTTTATTTTTGAACAATGCTTGGAAATATTATGTGATTTTTTTGTTTGTTTGTTTTAGGAGGATGGTGTATGGTGGGGGCAGTAAATGAGGTTTTTTGCATTCCAAGGAAATGGCATATGGATTAACTGTAAGAGATGAGATAAGTAATTTATTGTAAGACAACATCAAGCCATGGAAATTTGGCAGAAGATTCAAAGCAGCTTAAACAGCACTTTTAAGTTAACTCCTGAGCATTACATGGTGTGACTCTGGGAACTTCAGTTCAGACAGGGGCTTGTTAGAGGTGGACCGCGCGAAGATTTCCTTTTGCAGTATCCGTAGACTTTGGAGCAGCCTTCCCCTCTCTCCCCGAGAGCGCTGTGCCCCTCGGAACCCTCTGTCACTGGAATGGCGTGTGTCTCGCAGGACCTGTGTGCTCTCTTTAAGTTCAGAGCTAATTTAAGAGTATTTATTTCCCCTCTCTCCACTTTCAAAAATGATTACTATCGTTGTCGCTGTGATTATTCCTCCACGTTCGGGGGATAAGGCAAATGGTGTGCTAGTCCGTGAGCTACTGCACGCGCTTTCTGCTGGGCAGGGGGGCTGGGGGGGGCGGGGGGGAGAGGGGAGGGGGCTGGCCGCCCAAAAGCAGCGCAGCAGGGCGCCCGCCCCCCGCCCGTCCCCCGCAGACTGCTCTGCAAATGACCTTCCTGTTCCAACTCCCCTTGGAGACCAGGTGACCGCGGGGCATTTGCATACCCTTGCTGTTTGATTTGTCACAACCTATTCTAAGAATGAATGCAATCAGATTTTAAGAGTAATTCTCTATACTTGAGCACTTTTTTGCTTTACACTAGATCATCTTAGACTTGCTTATACTTGGAGATTTGATTGTTTTCTTCCAATGACTGCACTATATGTATGCATAAGACCACTTTTGATTGCCGCGTTCCCCCTCCCTTCTGAGTAGTCCCTAGGACGGCGTGTTGTGTTTTCTGGTGTTGAGTTACATGTGACAGCATCTCTTCCTTCCATGTCTTGATGTTATGCAGGAAGGTACAGAAGTACTTTAAAATTTTGTTATGAAAAAAAAAAAAGATGGGTTTTGTAAAAATAAAAAAAAAATATTTTTAGCAGAACAGGACTTACAGGGTCATTGTCCCCACAACGTGCCAGTCGACTATTTGCACTTACCTTGTCCTATATATCCGTACGGAGGTGTGCAATTCCTGGGGTCAGCGGCCTCGCAAGGCTGACCCCGGAAGGACGAGGGGAGCCCTCACGGCTGACCCGACGATGTTGCTACGGGAGATTACAGGGATCTCACAGCAAATATTCTGATACAATACTCAACCTCGGTGTATATATATGTACAAATATATGTACATCCCAGCAGCACTTTATACTGCTCACTGTACAAACACTCACGGTTTTCCACGAGGACTCGAATAGCGAGCTGGGACAGATGATGTAATTCCCCGGGGCTCTGCCGCGCCGTCCCTGGAGCGCGCCCTCTTTCTGTTGTGCGACTAATTGTAGCTGCCATGCTCAGAATTGCCTTTCGAGAGCTGAAGCGAGGTGCTTCTCGTCACCCGATGCCGATGCCGTGGACCCCGGGGGGGCCCCCTCCCTGCAGGGGCCCGCTGTTCACATGGGCACATGCATTCCCCCGCCGCGTCGTGTCTGCAGCTTTTTTGCCAATATAGTAATGCTTTTAGTAGAATGATAGGTAGTATCAGTTTTGGATTCTTCTTGTTATCACCTATGTACAATGGAAAGGGGTTTTAAGCACAAATCTGCTGCTCATCTAACGTTGGTACATAATATCAAATCAAAAGTTATCTGTGACTATTATATAGGGATCACAAAGTGTCACATATTAGAATGCTGACCCTTCATATGGAATTATTGTGAGTCATCAGAGTCTATTTATTATAACTTATTGTTCATTATCATTTCTAAGTTAATTTAAGTAATCATTTATTAAGACAGAATTTTGTATAAATATTTATTGTGCTCTCTGTGGAACTGAAGTTTCATTTATTTTTGTACTACACGGCATGGGTTTGTGGACACTTTAATTTTGCTAAAATGTGTGGAATCACAGGTTGCAGTGACACTTCATTTTTAAATTGTGAACTTTGTACAAACTTTGTCATGCTGGATGTTAACACATCTTACTCTAAATAAAAAAGGTGTTGCCACATTTGTAGCCTGATGGATCTCTACCCGGGGTCTGCGTCTTCACTTGAGTCTGGAAGCGCTGTGTGGGCCTCGACGAGCGTCTCGCCCCAAAGCCAGGGGCTTTAGCCGCCCTGTCGGTCAGGGTGCGCGCCCCCTACTCGAAGGCGCGGCGGCAGTGATTTCTCAAACCCACCGCAGGAGTTTGGGGAGGCTCCCTGCCCCTCGCTTGTGTGGAAAGTCACTCTGCCACATTTGCTCGTGTGAGGACACGTCACGTCCAACGGCAGGTGCCTCCCCAGAACGAGGACGTTCTCCAACACGACCACACGTGGTAGGACGTCCTCCTAACTTGCGGGTGTATCCAGATGCTCCAGCTGAGCCCGTAATGTCCTTTACAGCTTTGCCCCTATCTGATATCCTGGAGGACCCCAGGCTGCTCTCGGCGCTCACGCCCCTGGTCCCTCACTCCTGGGCAGCCCCTGCGCCTTCCTTCCTCGGTCTCCCGGGGGCAGGAACGTGTGTGAAGTGTCCAGGGCGGTTGGTTTGCAGACCCTGCCTAGGTTGGCTGAGTGTGATGGCCACGTCCTGGGGGTTCAGGTGCCCTGAGCGATGCCGTGTCCCTTCCTGCAGCTCACTTCCAAGGGCCCACATGGTCACTCACCAATGATTGCCCCGGGTGCCTCATCATCCATTGTTTCTTCCAAACTATCGGCAAGGACCACCCATAAAGCTTAAATTACCCTTCAAATATGATGTATCAGTGAATTACCCACTTTACCTTCGTCTATTTGAGTAAAAGTCACCCTTTAAAATTCCAGAAATGGGGCGCCTGGGTGGCTCAGCCGTTAAGCGTCTGCCTTCGGCTCAGGTCATGGTCCCAGGGTCCTGGGATCGAGCCCCGCATCAGGCTCCCTGCTCTGCGGGAAGCCTGCTTCTCCCTCTCCCACTCCCCCTGCTTGTGTTCCCTCTCTCGCTGTGTCTCTCTCTGTCAAATAAATAAATAAAATCTTTAAAATAAATAAATAAATAAATAAATAAAATTCCAGAAACACCCTCTTATAATAGACACAACCCCCAAAATATAACGTTTGAGGAAGAGGCCCAGTAATCTTTGTTAAATCCAAAGTGTATCCCTGCAGGGGTCCTCTACCTCCCCGAGACCGAGGGCCACCTGAGCACCCAGCCGGCTGGTGCTGTCTGAGATCATAGAGGCAACAGCTTGGCCAGCCTCATCACAGTGACTGAGGAGAGGGAGGGGCGCCCTCCCTCAGCCCGCAAGTGGCGGGCCGCAGGTGCCCGCTCTGCCGAAGGCCCCGCCTTTAGGACCAAATGGAGTTAAGGCAGAAGGTGGTGGGTCCACGAGACGCTGTCAGTAACTTAAGTCTGTCAACCTGATTACTGAAAAGCCGTTTTCGTCTGAGGGGCAACATGGCTGGAGTTCTTACAAACATTCTGGAAAGCAGTTTAGCCATCATGTCAGAGACCTTATAAAATTCAAATTTGGACCCAGTAATTCCAGAAGTCTATCGTAAAATACCATATACTAAAAACATTTGTAAATGCACGGAAATAAATAAAAATAACCCAAAAGTTCTATTTTAGAGGAACGCTTTAACAACTGATGATAAATGTACTTTTTAGGGTACCGCAGAGTGGTTAAACATTAGTTAAGAGGCTCGTGAATAAGATGTTTGTGATGCCGTAAGTGAATAGTACAGAGAGCAGAAGTATAAACAACTCAGGAACAGCGAGGTTGGATCGGCTTGCCTCCCCCCATGCCTGGCCCCCGCACTGGGGGCCGGCCACGCGCGTCTGCCACGGTAGCCCTGGGGAGCAGCACCCGTGGGCTGGGGCAGGAAGCCAGCCTCAGCCAGTGAGGGGAGAGGAGGACCTGGGAAGCCAGAGTGAAAGCCAGTGCTCTGGGCTCAGGGTCAGGACAGGAGAGGCTGCACAGAGTGGAGACAGGGGTCCTGGGAGGACCGTTGGTTCTCTGGTTCCTTTGTCTACAACTATCCTACTGAACGTGGTCGCCGTAGAAATACCAAAACATTTTTAAATAAATAAATAAAAAGCCTGAGTCTGGTGAGGATTCTAGAAGGTTCTAGAGATCTTGCAGGTGCCTGCGTCATGCACTCAGCCCCGTGGGTATTAAAAGCAGAGAGGACAGAGAAAACACAGCAGATGGGCAGGTGCTGCAGGCCAAGCCCCTGGGCAACCCCTCCCCCCCCAGGTAGCCCCATCGGAGCCCAGACACCTTTTGCATCACCTCCTGGATGCCCCACTCTCAGGAAGGTGAGGCTGCCCATTGCCCACCCACTCCCTCCCCTCCGGCCCTGCCAGAGCCTCAGGAGCCCCCTGGGCTTCCCTCAGCTCCGGCCACGCAGCATCTGGACTGTTCCCGCTCAAGGAAGACTCCGGAACAGTCCGGGTCCCTCCCTCCCCTCCTCACCTCCGGTCAGTGTCCACACAGCAGAGTGATGCACACATGGGAGAGCCACGGGCTCAGCAGCAATATTTAAAATACATGTTAAGAAAAAAAATCAAACTTCTGTATTTCGTCTTTATATTTCAATCACCAGAACACCCCCCAAAAATTATTGGTCACTATACAGACTCCGAACAAAGTAGAAAAACAGCATAAACGTAAACATGAAGCCCATAGTAAATGCAGATAGACTAGACTCTGCAAAATGACAGAACAGACATGTCCCTGCTCCCCGCACACCTGTCCCACATCTAGAGCCGTGTCCTGGGATGTGGCTTCCAAGGCGGCCCCAAGAGGACCTGACGGGAGCCGACTGGAGTCGGGGAACACCCTGGGATCCTGTCCCAGCACATTCCTCTCTGCTCTCGGACCCCGTCTGTCCTTCAGAGTCCCCCCCTGTTCTGCTCTCGGACCCCGTCTGTCCTTCAGAGTCCCCCGCTCTGCTCTCTGGCCCCGTCTGTCCTTCAGAGTCCCCCGCTCTGCTCTCGGACCCCG